CCCAGTGGGGGAATTGAACTCCCTACTTCTGGCTCCACAGCCAGATACCAAAACTCCTGACGGTTGTACTTTTTTTTTTTTAAAGAACTCTTACTTGAGGGTAAAACTCTGCTAGAGCAGGCAGCGTTGAGTGGTGGATAGAGGCCAGACTAGGACACAGGGGCTCTGGGTTCAAGTCTGGACTCAGCCATGGAAACACACAGGGAGTTTGCAATGGTGAACTACTCCTTGAATATCTTACAAATACTGTACTAGGGTTGCCACAAGTTGGAAACAATTTGACACTACATAATGACAACAGATCCCATCAGAAAGAGTGGGTCTTAAGCTCTGGGGCAAGCCAGGGTTAGATGGCTGGGAACAGCATTTATATCTCTAAAGTTTATGTCCCGCTGTGTGGGATCCTTGCTCTGTGTGCATGGGGGTGGGCAGGGCTTCATTCAAATCGGGAAGTAAACAAACTGGTGGCTCGTGTGCATCGCCGACAGATCTCTGGGTGAGTGTGAACAACTTAGAGGGAACCTTGGGTGTCAGGCTTTGCATTGCAGATGGTAATCACAGGCATGCTTCCTCAGTGACAGAACTTCAGTGGACAACTCAAGCCAGAGGGTGTGAAACTTTTGGTTTTCCTCCCATTTTGGACTACAATTCCCATAAGCCCTTGCCCTTGGCCATGCTGGCTTCAGGATTGGGAGGTTAAAGCCCAGACTTTGACCCACTGTGTGAAGCAGAGGGCTTAAAGAAAGGAGTGTCTGTATTTACTGTTTTTATTATATTTATAGTCCATATTGCCGCTTTGCTACGCTGCACTCACAGCAACAACCCTTTGACGTAGATCAGGTTGAGTCAGGGTGAATTCTTGGTGAAAGATCACAAGGTAAATTCCATGGTTCAGTGGGGGACTTGTATCTGGATGTCCTTTGATCTGGTCCCACACTCTAACCCTGCTGTAGTTTGGGAGGGACAGAAAGATCCCTCAAGGGAGATTGGATGGTGGAATGGGGTTTGAGGTAGAGTCATGACAGTTAAGGCTTGTGCTTCGAACAACAATAACAAGCCTACATTGCTATCATGGTTAGACTGTTGGTCTAGGATGAAGACTGGGAACACCCAGGTTATAAATCCCCACTCAAGCCTAAGATCTTTGGGTGGTCTTGCACGTGTAATCTCACGTGAGTGCAAGCCTAAGATCTTTGGGTGGTCTTGCACTTGTATTCTCTCAGCCTGGCTAATCTCACATGAGTAGTTAAGTGTGGAGGAAAAGTGTGACAGGCAACTAAAACTATAAATAAAGTGGGTAGGTATATTGCATTACTCATGTATGTTGTACTTTAGAAAAAACAAGAGCCGTTCCCACCTCAAGAGTCTCTGCTCTAGGAAACGACAGAAGGACAGGTAAAGGTCTGTGTGGTGTTTCGGCTAGAGTAAACAAGAGCCGTTCCCACCTCAAGAGTCTGCTCTAGGAAATGACAGAAGGACAGTGTGGTGTTTCGGCTAGAGCGTGGAGCTGGAGGGGCCTACGTTCTAATGTCCATCCAGCTTTGAAGATGACTGGATGAATGAGCTGGGCATGGATTGTATCACTAGATGTGCCACCTTTTGCTCCTTCAGGGGAACGTCCCTCCAGATGTTTGGGACATCTGCTCCCAGGAGCCAGAGAAAGAGTAGTCAATGGCAAGGATTCTGGGAAATGAAGTCTTTAAAAACATCTGTGCAATGAAAGTTTCAGAACCACTGGTCTAGTCTAATTTGCAGACTACATGGTGGGTGGGTGACTTCCAGGGAAAGAAGGTTTGGATTTTTGCCTTGGAATGTTAAGGTTTGAAGGTGGGGGAGATGATAACTGATTAAGAGACCATAGGTTTTTTTCTTTGTTTTGTTTTGTTTAGAGGTCTTTGATTCACTCCCTGGTAAGTCCAGTTCAGATGGAGCTTGTAGACAAAAGTTGGGAAAGGCATGTTTTTCTGCATTGATAGTTCTAGGCTAGTTGAGTCATTACTCTGACTATGTCTAAAGTATCATGGTGTGAGTATCATGGTGTGATATCCTGCATGCCCTCTTGACCTCAGTGTGAATAAACCCAGAATAGTTTTGCTCAGTGCCCAAATAAACAAATGGCCAGCATTCTTGTCCCTGGCTTGTGTTTGCTGAGAGAGTCACAAACAGGCAGCCTTCTAGTTTGTTTTTAATCTAGGTCACCAGTGGGATATAGCAGTGTGGATGATTGGTGTGAGGGAATAACTAATCTTTGTTCAGCAATGCTGAATTTGCGCCCTATAACATTGGTATGGGAAGAGCAGCATTTCCCTGGAATCGGAACTCTGTGGGTTTGGCATATGTTCCAGCCTTTAGGAAAGCAATATAGATGGATTGGAGATCCTTCAGAAGTAAGTACGGCGGCAGAGATGAGTAGTAGAGGGGAAACTGGATTACTTCTGGGGAGTAAAGGGAAATTACAAGCTACACAGTGGAGTGTAAAGTTCTCAACACTGGGTATACTATAACGGTGCATTATGTGTGACATTGCGTCTGGTTACTTTCCTGCATCTCTCCTATCTCTGCACATTGTCCAGTGGCAAGACGTTCTCAGAACAGTATTGCATGTTTTAGTGGATGATAGAATGCTGGAGAACTCTCGGAGGTATTCTCATAATAATTTGCTTTATTTACCCATAAAGGGAGAAGCAGCCCTTCAGAGTGACATTCATCTCTGGGTTTGCTTTCTAATGCACCACCTACAGCCATTAAGCAGTGCTCATGAATCCCAAGCTGGACGAAGCTTTCAGGAAGGCGCGTAAATGACAGAATTCATCCAGAGTAATTGGGCACCGAAGTCCCAAACATGCATCCAGACCTTATTATCTCCCATCTCGTGCTGAATGGTCCTGGGGCAGGAGAATGTGTGTCATGGTTTCTGAAGTATAGCTTTCTTGGGATAATTGTGTACATAACGGTGGTGAAATAGACTGAACAGGAAGCTCGAAAACCATAGTAAGGTGATAACTGTATTAGATTGCGCTAAAACAAAATGTCAGTGCCAACAAAGATATGGGGAGACTGTGACTTTTGACTAACTCAACTGATAGCAGCTTGTGATTGTTTTATTATCACTCTGAGTGTAATTGAAAGAATGTTGGAAGGTGCGGGGAGACCCTGTTCAATAAGATGTCATGGATCGGACCTCCTCGAGACAGCTGTGAAAGAAGCTTTGTCTTTTATTAATTTATTATCAATTTATTTTTTAGATCGCTTGCTGGGAATTTGGCCTGATCATTTTACTTTGTAACCAGTGCATATCTTTATTCTTCAGAACAGCTTGGGGTATCCTCTCTCTCTCAGGTTTCTTACATTTCTGCAAATGTGTATAAGCCTGTCATGGTGTCAGATTGTTCGTGTTCTGCCCATTCTCCAGTGAAATGGACACCCAAAGCATATTCCAGTGGAGGAAACATGTTAAAAGCAGAGGAAGAATCTTAGCATCCAGATCTTTGTCTATGAAAGGCAATGCCATCATAGATCTGTAAATCTTTAAGATGCTTAAGCTTGCTGGCAGAGTATGTGTGTGTATGTGCTCCAGGTTTCATTCCTTGGCATCTCCAGGTAGGGGAGATAAGGAGGAAATAAGTGGGCAACTTCTGTGGGTCCTGAAATGATTTATTAGCTCCACCCACCCACCCACAGAGGGCTGCATGAGTCCCAGCTGAGAAGACCAGTGACTGGAAGGCAATTAAATTTTTGAGGGTGGGGATCTTTGCTGGTTAAAAAACTGTAGGGGACAAACTGTTGTTACTGTGTCTTGTTTTAGAGGAGAAACAGGTGCTTTTGATGGTGAAGAATGCAGAATAAGTGGTATATGGGCATTAGGTACTCATCTGTGTTGTATTGAACGAGAGGCAAGTCTGCCCTAAAGGTATGAAAAGTAAAATCCATGGGCTTGTTTCGTGGCTCATCTAAAATCAAATCGAGTGAGAATTCCAGATCCTTTAGTGTGGCTGATTTATTTGCAACTGACGACAGAATGAGCGTTTGTGTCCCAGGCTATACCAGGAGGAGACTTACCTCTCTCACACACTGCTTAGAGTTACTCAGGATGATGGGAGCAGTCACAAGATTGTAGTTAACTGCCACTTCCCCTCTGTTTCTTTATTATTTTCACATCTCACTTTCCCTTCAGATAGACTCCAAATTGGAAGTGTACCTTCTTAAAAATGATTCTAAGTTTTGAAACATTTTTGGGGACTTCCAGGCTTGGTGTAGCCCAAGACAGGCGCTGGGTAGGGTGGGGGGGCAAAATTGGCTAACAGGCTGTCCAGAGTTGCTCATCCATGCTTCAGGGGCACCCCTCTCCGTAGTTCCCCGCCATCATTTTTTTAAAGGAATCTCCAGCATGCTGCAGAATATCCTGGATAGAACAGCTTCTTGCAAACTATTCTTGGGAATTTTGGAAGTTCTTAGATCATTAGTTCCCAACCTTGGGCAACCCATGTGCATTTCCCAGAAGCCTTGACCACCGGCTGTATTGGCCAGGGTTTCTGGGAATTGCAGTCTAAGAACACGTGGGTGATCCAAAGTTGGGAATCACTGCCTTAGATACTGAGGATTCAACAGCGTTAAGGTTGGTAGTGGCAGGTGCCTCCTTTCAGTTAAGCCTTTGTCCACCAGCTACTGTTGATCTCCTGCAGTTTTTAGCGATACTAGTATACCATTTCTTTGCTTCTGAGCAAGTAATGGTCCTCAAAAGTGGTTTGCGTCACCCTGGCATGTAGGGAAGTGCCGTGACAGATCTGGGCTGCCCAGTAATGTCTTGACATGTGTGGCCTTCTCTGCCAGATCTGTCCGTGTTGCTAGCTGCGCGTATGTGCGAGTTAGCAAAGTGAGAATGGAATGACACTGAACTGCTGCAGAGGTCTTGCTTCTTGAATTTAAAGCAGGGCTGACGCTGAAGTGCAAGGAAAAGAAATCAGGCCACAGAGCTGGTGTTGGAAGGTTTTGTAGTTCTGAAGACGCGGGCAGTGAAAAACAGGCCATAATCCTTGTGAATCTACTGCATTTTAGCCAGATATCTGCTGTTAGATCCAAATCTGTCTTGGGTTCACCTTTGGATGAACCCATTGCAAGCAGAGTAAGCATAAGCCACTAGAATAATCATACACTACAAACAGTGACCGTTTGCAGTAATGTTTTGTTTACTGTTTTCTGAATGAGCTGCCTCCCTTTGTGACATTATCAGAAGTGGTGCTTGATTGATCCATTCCAAAATATGCAATAAAGGTTAGCAGGACCAGACACAGGCATGACACATAAGTGTGTCTTCTGTTTGTTCTTCTGTGCTAGTGTCTGAAGCAAGAGAACTCAACTGAAGTGAAGCCATTGAGAGAGATGTAACTTTTTCTGTATTGGGTATACCAATAGAGGACCCAACACTCTTTACTGGGGAACAACCCGCCCTCATTACTAACGCAGAGGCAGCGACGCTGCCCCTATGTTGTTGGAACAAAGCGTGAGTTCCAAATTTTCTAAATCTGGTGGGAAAAAGTAAAGGAAAAGAATGGTGTTGTTTCTGCTGTGGCCAGCCTTTGTCCTAAAAGGCCACTTTAGGGAGCATATTTGCAGAGCTTTCTTTGCAAAGCCCAATTGTCATTATAGATGATGGCGGGGGGTAGGGTGGGGAATGGAGGGGTTAAACAGGGCAGGAGCACGTACTGTGGATGACTCAACCCTGAGCTCAAGGAAGATGCTCAAAGCAAGTGTTTTGCTACTGCCGTGTGTGTTTTTTGTCTTCTGACAAGTGTAGTCTTAATTATTAATGATCCTATCTCACAGCATGATAGTAATTGATCTCCGGTGCCATTTGGAAGGATAATACTGTATGGTGTGTGTTTGTGTGTGTGTGTGTATATCAATCACCAAGATGCAGGAAGAGGCCATTTCTCCTTGCAGCACGTTTGCCAGATCGAACTTCACAGTGGAGCCAGTCTCTGAGTATTGCAGGATAAGAGTCTCCTGGCCTGTTTTATCTCCTAGACCCTCCTGGGATTTTGTACGGTGTGGGTCCAGGATGGTGTGTGATTCATGTCTAAACATAAGCACCTGTAAACTCACAATATGTTATAAATGCCAAAACTAGCTGTAATGAAACCATCTGTAATGTTCAACTGTGGTTATGTTAGAAACCTTTTTTTAAAAAGCCGATTAAAGTAATAGTAATGGTTTATATTAAAAAATGGAAGAAAAGCAGGACAACCATTTAAAACCCCTGTGCTGCCTATACAAGAATGTCTTTGATGGTGGAGGGGCAGCATAGAAAGGGGGCAGCTTAGCCTCCTCTAATAGGAGGTTCCCAGTTATGGGCACAGCTGCCCAGGAGACCCTTTCTCCAGTCCTAAGAACTCTGAAGACAGTCGGTGTGAAGCCCTTGGCAAGCTTGTATGGGAGGACATGGCCTTTCCAATTACGAGTGAAGGCCCAAAGCATCCATTATGGGATAGGAGCATGAAGTTGGGTTCATTCCTTTCTTTTCAGTATTCCTTGAATTGTTTCTCTTTTAACCCTATACATATTGGGTTTTGCCACATTTTGTTCTCAGCACCTTTTGAGTTTCACCTTCTGCTTTCCTCTTTTTTGAAACTGCGTAAATAACTTTTGCATTGTTGAATGTACTGGATTTCTGTGCTAGAATGACACGTAACTACACTTTGTGATCCCTGCTTTGTGGAAAACTATGTGCACATCAAGTTAAATGAAATTGTTTCCCTAACCAGCCACAAAGGATACCAGTGTTCCTCTGCCTACGCTTCTGTGCCTGCCAAATGACAGGATTATTATTAATCAGGATCATCATCCAAAACCCTGGGGCTTCCCCCCTCCCCTATGAAGATCATTGTCACAAGGTCTTCTGTGAGGTTTGGTCATTTGATTTAACAGCCTTGTTACAATCGCTGCTGATTTCTGAATAGCCAGTGTACGTCCCACAGATAATCTCAAAACAACAACTGGCTTGAAAATAAAAAGGCTTTCCTTTGGAGCCCGTTAAAGCTAAGCGTTTCAGTTTTCCAGTACAGTGGTACTCTTAAAGAGAAAGGGAATTATCAATGTGATTCGTAGTGATTTGTATTCATGCTGGGATGTTTTGTCCAATCAATAGCTAAAACTCTCCTGAGGATATGTAGTAAGACAGCCTTAGCAATAACTTTGGAAGAAATATTCCCTCTGCTCCACACACAAACACACACCTAAAAAACAATTTGCCCAGGTCAAACATAAGCAAACAAAATGGGATCTTCTGGATGTGATCAGAGCATACACTGGTTATCGAGGTGTAGGTCGTTCTGTTCTAATGTTTTTCTACCCAATTCTAGTGGGTGCATCACTTACTCTTCTTAGAAAAGGCAGATTTGCCTATGGTAACTATTGCCTTAATTGCCTCCTAATTAGACTGCAATCATACCTTCTATGTGCTGCTACCCCTGTAAAGTGTGCATAAACTGTAGTGTATCCTTGTTCTGTGCCGTCAAGTCAAAACTGATTGATAGTGACAGTAGTAGGTGTTTCAAGGTAAGTGAGGGATTTAAAGAGTGGTTTTACTAGTTCCAAGGAAACTTCCATGGCAGAGCTGGGAAATTTAACCCCAGTCTCCTAAGTCCTAGTCCAGCACTCTGTCTGCTACTTCATAGCAGGTACCATCAATAAGATTTAATGATTATGATGTGCTGTCAAGTCAGTTCTGACTTATGGCAACCCTTTTCAGGGTTTTCAAAGTAGGGAGTGCAGAGAAGTGGTTTACCACTCCCTGCTTCTAGGGGCATCCTGGAATTGTACAGCTTGCCCAAGACTTCACAGGCTGGCTCTCCTTTCAAGAGGCACAGTGGGGGAATCAAACCCCCAACCTTTAGCTCAGCTGCCGGATACCTAACTCATTCAGCTCTCCAGCCAGCTCTGCAAGCTATAAGTAGTGCCAAATATGGCAGCCAGGTTGCAACCTGACAAGTGTGTTTAAGAGATCTCATAAAGGCAATCTTGAATCAATTGTTCTGGCCTTCCGGTTCGCTTCTTAGTTCACTTCAAGGTACTAGTTTTCATTTATAAAGCCCCAGATGGCTTGAGGCCAGAGTATCTGAAAGATCTTCTCTTGTATGCATCTCTCTGGAATCTGAGACGTTCAACAGAAGGCCAGTTGTGTGTCCCAGTATTCCAAGAAGCTAGGCAGAATATAAAAGATAAGACTTTCTCTGCAGCAAAGCATCAGTTTTTGAGACCAGCTCCCAGTAGGCAGCTCATGTATGTGAAACTGGTTTAAAAGCTCCTTTGGAAAAGTTACCGGAATAGCCAGCTTGTTTTAAGAATATTGACTTCCAGATATGTTTCTTTAACTTTTAAAATAGTGCGTTGAATCTGTATCTGTTGTCTTTGTGTATCCCTTTGGGGCTTTGCAGTAGATAAAGACTGAAATATCCAGGATGAGCGGTGAACTTGCCCTTTATCAGAGAGCCAGGGGTGTGGTTGCATTCCATGTAAAATGGGGGGTTTGTTCCATTCTGACCTCCTGTCTCCCTTTTTTTAGGTCCTTAGCTGTTGGCAGTAGGTCTGGTTACAAATTCTTCTCCCTTTCATCGGTGGATAAGCTGGAGCAGATCTACGAATGCAGTAAGTGTTCCCCTTTTGCTCCCTCCCTTGCCCTCTCCTCTTTTATCATGCTGTCCCAAAGGCATGCCCTGGCTTTTGCCGCCATCTGATAAGGGTTTGTTTTGGAATATTCTTGCAGTAGCTGCCCCAGAGACCTGGGTGGTGGCCTTTGGGGCAGCTACTGCAATAGTATTCCCGGCAAGATGGAAGGGGTGGGTGGGTCTCCCAATCTGAAATGCATACAGGAAGGCTTGAGATGAGTGCACTGGCAGCAGCAGGTAGAACAGGACCACCCACACACACACACGTTTCCTAATTCTTAACAGGCCTGGACTGGGCAGCCACCCTTTCTCCCTTGTCCCCCATGTCTTCTCTGCCCGCTGGTCAGTTTGGACATAGGGTGCCTTAGCTTCCCCCCTCTGTGCAAATTGCTTGGCGTCCTTGGGGTTAGAGCTACCCCTTGCCCTGCCTGAAGGCCCCTATGGCTTGTTTCCCGAAGACTCAGCCACCGCAGCCAGCCTCAGTTGACTCAGGAGGTTTCCTTCTCCTGGGACTCAGCCAGGGTTGCATCGAAACAGAACCAGTGTGACTCTGCTGTATTTCCTACGGCTTCTGAAGTGCTTTTTGGCCTGTATGACCTCTCATCACATGTTCGTCTTTGGTCCCTGTCCTGCGTCTGCTGCCATTGCTTACACAATGTCAGACACAGCCCAAGTCCTCTTCAGCATAACAAGGACGGTGCCGTAATGTGGCCCAAAGATGCAACTAGGCAGAGTTTGGAAAAGTTTGTTGTTGTTGTTTTTAAATTATAGAATTCCTCAAACACTCCCATCAGCATGGCCATTGACCGTACCTACTAATGGGTTTTGGGAGTGGTAATCCCATGACTTTTCCAAGCTCTAGAGGAGCCCCACCTGCTGCACACCACACGTATATGTTACAGTGAACTATAGCCCCATGTGTGACTTGTCACCTTCATATCCTGTAGCAACGTTTTAAGATGTTGGCAAAGGCTTTGAGGAAAGAATGATGATTCTTGCTTGATATGGCTGGTAGGTGGATGTAAAATCCCTAAATGTACTAATTTCATGGCAATCATCTTGGTTAGCAGACCAAACTGTTTGCTACTTGATCCCTTACATTTATCCTAATGGTTCTGGCCAGGTAACTTCAGTAGCTGCTTACAATTTGTTCAATGGCACAAGCATTAGCTTTTTCATTTTCATCTACAGCTCTCCAGCCTTCCTGGCCGCCTCCTGTTCTGTTTTCTTCATCCACTTAGCAGCTTTCTGCTTCCCTCTATAATATTAAAGCCAATTTGCAGCTAGCTGTCCAAGCCCGTGTCAATATATTGATCCACAGGGTGCAGTTTAGTCAAGCACCTCCATTCCTGGCTCACTCCCAGTGGCTTGCTTCCTTCAATGCAGGGGCCTCTCATTCCATTCCTGGAATGACAGACCCAGCACCAACCTGATGCCCAAGTGCATATGCTATAAGTCTAGCCGTGTACCAGCAAATGGTTTTCCATGGTTCTTGGTGAGCTGTATGCCCAGTCCAGAAAGCTCTTGGCACTCCCAAGCGATAGTGAATTGCCAATGAGAAGGAAATTTTCTTTGCAGGAAAACTGTTGTACTTTTTAAAAAAACCTCAACTACAAGAAGCCCTTCCATTAAGTATAAGCTTCTAAACAACCCCAAAATTCTCTTGAACAGTGATTCTCAGCTTTTTATATCTTACATCCCACCTGTTACTCTATCAAAGAACCAGGGTTCACACAGAGGCCAGTTGTTCCATGAAATAAATTTATATTTACAGGTGATCTTTTGTTACATTTATTACTTGCAGTAAATATTAAGGATGCTAAGTCTTGCAGCAGCATTGTGGATCAGGGAGCACAATGTAATAATTCGTTCAGAAGGTAAAAATTGTTGTTTATATCGAATGGAATCCTATTCCTCATCTCCTTTCCATCCCAAACCTGCAGCTGACACAGAAGACGTCTGCATTGTGGAGAGGCTCTTTTCCAGTAGCTTGGTAGCCATTGTGAGCCTTAAAGCCCCCCGCAAGCTGAAAGTGTGTCATTTCAAGAAGGGGACGGAGATCTGCAACTACAGCTATTCCAATACAATCTTAGCTGTTAAACTCAACCGGCAGGTGAGTGCGATGCTTCGGAAGTTCAGCCAGCAGTGCAATGTGGCTGCAACAAAGGCCAGTGCAGTTTTAGGATGCATGAACAGAAGTCTAGTCTCCACATCTGCGAGGTACTGGGCATGTTGAGCCTTGAGAAAAGAAAAATGAGGGGAGATAGGATAGCACTTTTCAAATACTTGAAAGGTAGTCCTACAGAGGAGGGACAGGATCTGTTGTCTGTCATCCCAGACTGCAGGACATGTAAGGATGGGTTCCAACTACAGGAAGACAGATTTATGCTGAATATCAGGAAAACTTCTTAACTGTTAGAACAGTACAACAATGGAACCAATGACCTTGGGAGGTGGTGAGTGCTCCAACACAGAAAATTGGACAACCCTCCGCCAGATATGCTTTGATCTGGATTCCTGCCTAGAGCAAGGGGTTGGACTCCATGACCTTAACAGTCCCCTTCCCACTCAATTATTCCATGATTCTATGGCTAGGTCTTCAGTGGGTAGCTGTTTAAGAGCCTGGGAAGAAGTTGCAAACTAGGGAGAGTTCACGGCGTGGGCAGTTTTTGTGTCACTGGCTCTCACAAATGGCAAAGGGCAATTTATTTCTGAGCCTCCACGCTGCTAATGGACTCTCACTTGAGCTGTTGAAATAGAGGCTATCCATGGGCTATTAAACTGATTGTAATCAAGACTCTGAGGTTGCAAGTCCATCTTTTTGTAACGTTGGAACAGGCATTTGAAAAATCCTGAATGGTTTCACAAGGCCAATGAGTAGGCTTCTGCAAGACTTTGGCTTTGTTTTGCCTTCTTCCTCATTTTAAAAAAATCTCTTCCCCAGAGATTGATAGTATGCTTAGAAGAGTCTCTTTACATACACAACATACGGGACATGAAGGTGCTGCATACAATCAGGGAGACACCACCGAACCCTGCAGGTAAGGGCAGGTGTTTTATCTCGGCCTCTGGTATCTTTCTCTCCACTCTGGATTCTTTTGCAAAATAAAAGCCCATCACCTGGCTGCAGTAAGAATAACGTAGAGCAGTGGTCCCCAACCTTGGGCCTCCAGATGTTCTTGGACTTCAACTCCCAGAAATCCTGGCTAGCAGAGGTGGTGCTGAAGGCTTCTGGGAGTTGTAGTCCAAGAACATCTGGAGGCCCAAGGTTGGGGACCACTGACGTAGAGAATAAGTCGATTTTTAACCTGTTCTTTCAGCCCAGAAAGATTCACAGAGCTACTCACACGAGATAGTAATGAAAAGGGCAATTCCTCTCATCCTGGCATATGAACTGAAAAAAAATGTGCCAGAGAATGTTATGGTGATGGGGTGGGGACCATGTTGGGCACTCATTAAACAGAAATAAGTGAGGGGGGGATGAGGATGAGAATACAGCTGAGCTGTTTTCTCAGCAGAGATCACAGCGATGGTCTGGTCTGCTGGTCCATTTCTCCTGCTGCTGCATCTTTCATGCTGACTGCATGCCAGAGCTTCAGAAAATCCCTCCCCCGGCTCTCTCTCTCAGACTATAGCTCCCATAATTCATCTGCAAGCCATGCTAGCTGGGGGATTCTGGGAGTTGTAGTCCCCTCTCCCCAAAAAAGTAACTCTGCCATTTCTCTCTTCTCTATACCTCTAGGTGGTTGTCTGTTACAGTGCCTCATTTTTCCCTCCTCTCCTAGGTTTGTGTTCATTATCCATAAACAATGACAACTGCTACTTAGCCTATCCAGGGAGCGCGACCATTGGGGAAGTGCAGGTCTTTGACACCATCAATCTGGTGAGGCTCTTGATTGCTGGCCATGCCTTCCTGCTAAAGGGAGGGGACGTCACCCTTCAGGGTTGAGACCACCCTGTGCTCATTTCCTGTTTTCTTTGCTTCCCCCCCTCTTTTTTTGCAGAGAGCTGCCAACATGATCCCTGCTCACGACAGCCCCCTGGCCGCGCTGGCATTCGACGCCAGCGGCACAAAACTGGCCACAGCCTCCGAAAAGGTGAGGTTCCAGTCTGGAGATTCCTTCCTGTGGGGAAGCAGGCGCTGCGTTTGGCATCTTGAGTCCGAAGCATCTAGAGGAGTTTGTTCAGCGTTACCGTAAATGTTAAATGGCAAACTACTGCTCTGGTGGGGAATATCCAAAAGACACAGTCAGTGCCGAGCTTCCATAAATACCTGGTGGAAGGATGTGTCCTGTAAGGGGCCATCTGTGTCAAGAAGGAAATTGCTGGGATGGAAAAGGTGTAAACGAGGATAACCCGGAGGATCAGTGGTTTGGGGCACCTCCTATGTTTGGAGAATTTAAAAGGCTGCGTGGAGGAAGGTATTCCTGACGGTTATGATAGAGTTGGAGCCTTATGCCTGATGTATAGACAGTGCTGGTTTTTTCCTCCTCTTGTAACAGCAGATCATCAAGTGAAAGTGACATAAAGTAGATACAGAACAGCCCAAAGAGAATATGGCTTCACACTGCCTGCTATGCACTTTATGAAATTCTCTTTAAAAAATGAAGTAATGGCTTTAAAAGTGGTGAACAGCCGCCTACAGACCTCAGGCTAGGTGCACCTTTGGCTCCATGTTAATGGGCCCTTGGCCTGATTCCTAAAAGCTCTCTGAAGCCCACCCAGTTCAGACCTCAGGCAAGAGCTCATCCATCTTTATCCTGAAAAAAGAACATTAGTCACCCCACCCATTGGCCTCGGTTGTAGCCCAGCCTGCTGCTGGAGTACTGGCAAAGCAGACAGAAGAAAGGGTTTCTCTCTTTTAGCTTCCTTAAAAATAAGTTTGATATGGACAGGAGTCACTGATCCACTAAGAAGGAAAAGAAAAATTAAATTCCCAATGCTTATGCTGAATGCTTTCAAACAACCTAAAGAGGTACTCTTTGGATTTTGGCCCGTTTTGCTTTCTCCATAATTGTAAGAACTACTGACATTTATCTTAATACAAGCAAAGGCATATTTATGTTTCATCTCCTTTATCCCAACAGGGGACCGTGATCCGGGTGTTTTCCATTCCAGAGGGGCAGAAACTATTTGAATTCCGGAGGGGAGTAAAGAGGTGAATTAAACAACTCAGCAGAGGGAGTGGTAGGCGGTAGATTTCTTTTGTCTTCAGCAGCTGAACTCCTTGTGTGTAACGCTTGTCCAAGCATATCGGGAGTCTCCCTCTGTATACTACCACTAAACACATTTCTTACAACAGAACAGGCAAATTGTAGATAGCAGTTTCATTAAGGGGGGGAGACCCTCAAAAACCACAAAAGGGTAGTGTATTTCTTAGAACCAATTAAACATCATGAAGTAAAAGCAAAGAGTGCTGCTTATTTACTTCCCCATAGCACTTAAAGCACTCTCTCTGAGTGGTTTACAGTTTAATTATGCAGGCTGCACCAGCCCCTCCAGCAAGCTGGTTGCTCAGTTTACTGACTTCAGAAAGCTGGAAGACCGAGTGAACCTCAAGCCGGCGACCTGGGATTGAAGCTGGGTTATGAGCAGTAGTTGTGCCCTCCCAGTATAAACGATGGACACAGTGTTTCTGCCCAGAGATTTTTAAATCACAGACTCACCTTCCAGAGAAAGCTTTCACAAACCAATCTACCTCTGTATTTTCTTCCAAATGTTGTTAGTTCCAGATGTCTTCTTAGGGTCTCTAGAGAGCAAATTGGTGTTGTTCTCCACCTGGGAATCCCCCAAAGATTGACCAGTGGCTTCTGATAGGATCTGCCAGTGGAGCCAGAGGTTGGGAGTTCGATTCCCCCACTGTGTCTCCTTGACAGGGGCTGGACTCGATGATCCATAAGGTCCCTTCCAGCTCTGCAGATCTAAGATGATGATCTAAGTTAATGATCTGGACACCTACCCCTGAATTAGACTGTTGCAAACCTTTTGCATGCAGGATCTCAGTAACCTTGACAGCAGTTACTGTGATTGGTAGAGGAGTCGCCTAAAGATGGTTCATGGCTAGTTGGTTAGGATGGCTATTCCTCTACCTGCTTAATTGGGAAACCTCCGGGTCCTTCAGATGTTTAGGACCTCAATTCTCAGCAGTTCTTGTTCTCATGGTGACGAGTAAAAGAGCGTGTGGCCTGTAGCCGAAACATCCCGGAGAGCCTAAGATTTCCCATACTTGCCTTGGCTGAGCCTGCAGTTTCTCCCTGAGAAGGACGGGTCTATTTTTTTTTTTCCTATTCAGATATGCCTTGGACCCCCTGTGGCTTTGACATTGAAAGAACAAAGCTCAGAAATATCCCTTTGTTGGGCTGGATTGATCCCAATGCCTGGGGTAGTTCAAAACTACTACTCACCTCTGGAAAGCACGGCTTCTCGCTGCTTCCTCTGAATTGGGACGCTCTGTCTCCTCCCATATCCTTGCCAGAGTCTGCAGCTTAGGCGAACTGAATAAAGCTCAGAGACTCCACGGGATGATGTGAAGATGCGGAGGTGATGCTGTGACCTGCTGGCTGCCTCTTGCTTCTTCCCAGTAACCGAGCTCAGGTTGATTTGCAATTCTTGTCCTTCTCTCCCCTCCTCCACTCCAGGTGTGTAAGCATTTCCTCCTTGGCCTTCAGCATGGATGGCATGTTTCTGTCTGCGTCCAGCAACACGGAGACGGTGCACATTTTCAAACTAGAGACTGTGAAAGAGAAGTAAGCTGCTCTCAAGCGCCTGGAAAATTGGCACATGCCCTCAGAGGGGAGGGGTCCTTCAATGGATGCCAGCATTGCCCCTTTAAGGTGCACTATGAGGTCTGTAAGGTGGAGAGGGGTTCTTCTTCCTGGCATGTTGTTTTTTAAAAAAATGCCCCAGATACACTCCTGTCTCTTTTGCACAGTGTTTTTTTTTAAATTAGCCAGACTGCCTGGGACTGATCCTGCTGCAGCTTCACTTCTCCACGTGGCAGCCTTCAGCTTTCATTTGCCCGGGGAAGATCTGTTTTAGAATATCCAGCTTCATATATATGGGATCATGTTTCATGAGTAAAAGATCTGCAGTTTGCAACAGTCTGGCAGACTCACATCGGAGAACTGGTTTGACCTCATGCTCCCATGCATCGAGACCATTTTGCTGAAGAACTTGCAACATCTTTGGAAGCTGAAATTATGGGAGTATCTTACCCAGCCATTCTGTCATTGGGCACCCATGTCGAGACCTTATGAAGTACTTAAAAATTATTTTTAAAAAAATCTTTTAAAAAAATACTTAACATTTTTTTTAAACTTAATGGGCTTGCTTAAGGTATCAACTTCTACAGCTGGACATTCTTTTTCTCTTCCTCATTGGGAACTGTTTCTGTTATGTGGTATGAGCAAATAATTCTATTCCTGTGGCTGAAAAAGTAGGATTTCAGTGCTTCAGATAGATAAACTTTCCCTTGCGTCACATTGACGTGAGCAGCTAACAGTGGCAAACATGCGCCCTCTGTTTCTGGAAGAAGTTTTTGTGTAGCGTTTAAAGTTACCAAAGCAACTCTCTCCAAATGTGGAAGAACCTTGGCTAAGATCAAAAATTAACCCTGAGAATTCAGACGGCGCCTTCTCCAGCTTCATGCTGCTCTCATCATCATGGAGCCAGCTGATGATTGGGGAAGGGTAGACTAGTCCATTGTGTCACAAAAGTAGGACAGGAAATGCAAAGTGTGATGTTGATTTTTCAAGTAAGCAATATGTGTGTGTGTGTTTCTAGGTGTATATGTGGCATCAAAGCCTTTGGTCGCGTGGCACCTTTAAGCTGATCAATTTGTATTTCACATAAGCTTGTGGAGACTGTAGCCCACTTCATCAGGTGCAGGGACTTTCCCATGAGTAGGCAGACATTTATACATCTGATTTGGGCAGAGTGGCAGTAAAGGGGGACCGAAATGTGCAAGATACAGATATTGCTGATTGTTCCAAGATTGGCCGTTCGGTGTGCTGTCATTGAGCCGTGGCAAGGACCTCTTAGTGTAGATGAGAAGGTTCAAGCAGCGAAGAGAAATTGCTGTAAAACCCAAGCGTGATAGAGGAATTTGAACCTCTTCCTTTTAATCTGCTCTGGAAGGGAAGGAAAATATGGAGCCTATTTGAGTTATCCAGAGAAGGGCAGGAAAGGTTTGGCTTCTTGCAGAAGCTCATCAAGGTCACAAATGCTGTGGGGAAACCTATCAGGATATGTCACTTTCAGACATCCCCAACATTGCAGCTGAGTTTAGGGGAATTCAGGCTCCCCACCTGGCTGTGTCTGCTGAAATGATGGGGTGCTTGTTAATCCTACGCGAACAATGGCAAGTGCCCCTTTGTAACACCCGTTTCCCTCCCTCCCAGACCTCAGGAGGAGCCCACAACTTGGACGGGTTATTTCGGGAAGGTCCTGATGGTCTCCACCAACTACCTGCCCTCCCAGGTCACGGAAATGTTCAACCAAGGCCGAGCCTTCGCAACCGTCCGCCTCCCCTTCTGCGGGCACAAGAACATCTGCGCCTTGGCTACGTGAGTATGGGCTGTTAAGGGACTGGTGAGCCTCCAGGGTCAGGAGCAGTATAGCCCTGAATACCAGGTGCCAGGGAGAAGCGACAGAAAATGGTTTTGGCTTTGCTCTCTTGCCCTGTAAGCTTTCCAGAGCCATGTTTCTTGGTTGTTGCTCACCATGACACTAATGATCAATATCCTTTTGTTTTAAGGATACAGACAATAAGCATATCGTTAAACTGCCGGCTAGGAAGAAAGCCATTCTTTTAAAAAGCCAACACTTTTGACCTAAGCCTTTAAAAAAGTTTTAACTTTTTTTAAAAAAACACAAGAGTTTGCATGCTGCCTTTGTTTCTTTAATGGAAAGAGAAGGTAAAATTTTAACAGAAAAACTTGTAAAAACTTAATTAATAATTAAAAATAATTGATTATAGGATTCAGAAGATTCCCCGGCTGCTAGTTGGAGCAGCCGATGGATATCTCTATATGTACAACTTGGATCCCCAGGAAGGAGGTGAATGCACACTGATGAAACAGCACAAGTAAGTTATTCCCCTTGCTCCTGGTTGGTCATCTTATGCTAGAACTTATTTTTAAAAATCAAATCGATTTAAATTGTGTTTTAAATCATGATTTTTTTAAAAAAAATCAATTATTTAAAAGGAAAGTTGTCCAGAAAACCCTGATTTAAAAAAAATGATTTGATTTAAATGACATCCACCCTGACCCAAAGGTTATTGTGAATCAACGGACCCGAGGAGTGTGGATTTTCACAGGGCAGTTGGAGCCAAACTAGAAAACCTGAGCGGCAAGCAGTGGCGTAGATCTCCTTGACTTCATCATGATTGCTTTTGGTCTCCCATTTGTCTTTGATTCTTTCCCGTAGACTGGATGGCAGTATGGAGCCCGCCAATGAAATCCTAGAATCTGCCTCCCACGACAGGCCGTTGGTAGCACAGACCTACAGCACTGCCCCGACTAAAGGTACTTACGTGCCTTCTTCACCTACAAGACATGGTGAGGACCACAAATTTGGGGTGGGGGGAGATGGGGAGACACAATCGCCTTTCAGTCCCAATGCAGGGGCTGAAATAGGGAGGCTGATAGGAAACTGGGGGTGAGAGGCATTTTAGCCTGGGATGCTCTTCCCTTTATGTTACAATCATCCATTGGATCTCTACTAGAGATGGGCACAAACCAGTTTGTCCCAATTCATCCCAGTTAGTAAAGGTGGCCGCACAGGTGCTGCTGCTCCCCTGCCCTGCCTCCTCTGGCTCAAACAGCCACTCGCCAGGCCCAGCTTGGGAGTTTTTTTCCACCTCCTCGACCAATCTCCCAGAGAAGCTTCTCTGCTTTGCCCTCTCGGCTGATCTCCCTTTCAGACCAAAAGGAGGGCTAGAGAAGTCTGTGCTCTTGCTTGTGACTGGGAGATTAGCTGAGGAGGAGGTGGGGAAAAAACAAGCAAGTTGGACCTGGTGAGTGTCTCATCGGCTGAGGAAGTGGGAGAGGAGCAGCGGCACCTTCACAAATTTAGATGACCTGGGACGAACCGGTTCATGTCCATCTCTAATCTCAAGGATTTATACTGGAAATCTGAGTGCAAAGCAACTTTTAGGAAGGGTTTTAAGATGTCCTGTGACCGAAACAAGAAAACTGGCCCCTGTTGCAAATCTAGCGCCCTCTTGCTTGGCATTAAGCCATCTGAAAGAAACCGTGGTCCCTCTTTGCACGTCAGTTGGGCAAGGACAGCAGTTTTGAATGTGTGTGTTGTGTGTTTCTTAGCCCCTCCCTCTCACCAGAGTCTCGCTGATTTTCTTTCTGTGCTCTGGAGTTACCAAGGAGGACCTTTTAAAGCTGCAGTGTTACATCTTCTTGCAGGGGAAGAGAGGCTGAGAAACACAATTGGATTTCCTTGCTTAGAATCGTATACAATATCTTGGTGGTATCTAGCTTTGAGTTCCATACCGTAATAATCCAAAGGTGGACTACGCTGATGGCTTTCTGGGGACCTCAAATACAGCCAGAAACGTTGCAGAACAGAGAATGGAAAAGAAAATAAACTGGGAAGGGCCAAAGGTCCAGTGCCAGTTTTGTAAAATGGGGATTTTAGGGGTGTTAAATATTGCAGGGGAATGAGTGTCCTGTATAAATCAGTGAATTGCCACATTTCTTATACTGGAAAATGAGGTCAAACTTCAGAAGGATAGAAGCTGCCTGTCTTCCCTTCTTTTTTGTGTGTGTGTGTGTGGGGGGGTTTAGTTTAGGCATCCTTCAGTCTCGAGAGACTATGGTAACGTGCTCTGTATGGAGGACTTGGAACAGCGTCTAGCGTGGCTGAGAAGGCCAATTCGAGAGTGACCATCCCTTTCGCATTGCAGATAAATACAATCTGTCCCCAGTCCAGCCCCCTGATTTTACTGCTTTCATGACTGCCTCTTGGCCTCGGCCTGCTGGACAAGGGTCTCTTCAAATTGGGAGAGGCCGTGATGCACCGCCTGCCTCCAGGCTGAACTCTCAGATGTTAAGGTTTCCCATCTGTTCAGGTCCAAAGCCTTCAGATACCACTTGCAGATCTCCTTGTATTGCAGCTATGGTCTCCCTCTGGGACGCTTTCCCTGCACTAATTCTCCATACAGGAGATCTTTTGGTGTGTGTGTGTGTATTTATTTATATATATTTCCTGCTCCATGCGGCTCCTCCATCTCTTTCTCCAGCCTACACAGAAGAGCTGGGCGCAGTTGGTGGAGCTTGTCTGGAAGACGACACCAGCACCTCGCGCTTAGACGAAGACAGTGAGCACCCCCCCATGATCCTTCGGACTGACTGAGCTCAGACCCATGGACTCCCCTCCTGACGCCCAGAGTCCTGGGCCTGGCTTTTCTGAGGATCCCTGTGTCTATGCTGCTACAGACGTTGACCTGAGCGAGGGCCTCCGACTCTCAATACGTTTTCAAACAAAACATCCTGAACCCACCAAACCCATTGCGACCGTAGGGCCAATTCCAGTGCCGTTCAAGATGGAGTGGGGCAGGGAGAGAGACATGGTTTTGCTTCAGTGGCTTTTAAATCCTGCTCTCTCCTTTAGCTGTGAGGATATATATATATGTACATACATACACATACATACACATATATATATTGTCGTTACTGTTGCCAAAATGCTCTGTTTGTGCAACCTCCAGCACCTTCTGGCTTTGCATGCTTTCTTGTGCCAAGCAAACGGATCCGTTTTATAACAAGAATTTGCAACGAGGGAGGGGGCGTTCCCCTTAAAACGACAAATGCATACACACAGGACTTGGCATCGGTGAGGGAAGAACCACAAAATTGTGTTCTGTGGATGCTTTCCCTTGTTCTCTTTGAACAACAAAAAAAAAATTGAAGTGGTTTCTTACGCATGGGCTTGCGCCTGGTGACTTGACTTTGGGTTCTGTCTCCTGCCACCCCCTCCTCACAGCCTATTTTTCTCATCTACCCTGAAATCTACCCCATTTTCATCTCTCTCTCTCTGTCTCTTCTTGTTTTGTCCTTTCCCCTGGACCATTTTGTTAATTAAAACTTTTTCTGAATGCTGCCTCATTGCTATTGTGTTCTCTTAAAGAGGGGTGGGATGCCTCTTAAGATTTCACTGCAGCTTTTCCCTGGGTGGCAAAAGAGTGACGGAGGCCAATCCTCACTTTGGTACCGTTGGAGAGCTAAAAAAAAAAAGTCTCATTTTTCCCGTCTTGCCAGCACGCTTAGGCAGCAGCAACCTCTGGATGTGATGATCAAGCCAGGAATCCTGGCTCAAGCTACAACGTCAACGAGCAACATGGTGTTGTTGGAAGGCTTCTTTCTTCCCCTTAATTCCTTCCTTAAGCTGAATTCTAACCCTTGCCAGTTTGGGTGCCTTCGAGCATAAGCTCAGGTTTAGTCATAATGTGAAACTGTCCTTCCTTAGCTTGTTGACCTGCTCACTTGAAGGGAGATTCTGGGGGAACATGTTTACCAGCATCATGGCTTATTAAGCCAAGAATCTCGGCTTCTGAAGAGGGCCAACGTGTTTCTACTTAGAAAGTTTTAAAAACTGTAATAGCATGTTCCTCCTTCATCATTTTTACTATATTGCTACCTTCTGCTGATCTTGTTCTAATCCTTCCAAAGCTCCCGTCTGTCTTCCTAATGACTAGATGGATCTCTCTTTTTTGGAACCAATCAGCAAGTGCTCTTGGTTTTTGGAGTGTCTCCTTCGCCTGCACCTCCCGTGACCCCATGCCATGTTTTTCCCAACTCCTGCTCCACGTGATCAGCAGGTGTGCCAAGGAGACACCGCAACACCTTCATGCAGGAAACCTGGGCCGCTAGGCTGAGTTTCGTACAGAGGGTGCAATAGAAGCCGGCGGCTGTTTCCTAAGGCCGCTCTGTGTTCTTCGCAAGAGATCTCCCTGCCCATAATCAAAGGCCAGTTGCTCTCTCTCTCTCTCTCTCTCTCTCTCTCTCTCTCTCTCTCTCTCTCTCTCAGCAGTCTTTAGTACTGGATTGAACCGCAGCATGCTCTTTTCTAGCTTTTGTTGGGGCTTGGAAAAGTCACTTCTTTGGACCACAGTTCCCAGAATCCCTCAGCCAGCATGCTTGGTTGTGGGGTTCGGGGGCCCTCCTAGTCCCAAGACGTCCCTTTCCCAGGCTGTGGCTTTCATTGCCTGGACCCTCCGCCTGCAAGTCCTCTCCTGATTCCTTCTTGTCCCAGGTCTCCTAAGGTGGCATCATCTTCCCAGAAGCTTGAGCAGTGGTTCTGATGGCACGGGAAAGATGACCTGATGCGAGAGCGACCAATGCTGGGCAAAAATTGCCACCCTCTTTTTAACAGCTGTAATGTGCCTTTTGGGTGTTTTTGTTTGTTTGTTTCATTTTGTTTTTAACCTACATTTGTTTCAGTGAGAGGAAGAAAAAAAATTATGTGTAAACCCTTTGGGTGCGAAACTTCTGTTTTCCATAGATTGTTAGCCACTTTTTTAAAAAAATTAAATTATTACTCACTCTCCCTCATTCGTAGCATTCTCTTTGGGGCAGCGGGGGAAGAGCAAGAAAAGTATTGAAGCGCTCTTGTAGAGTGGAAATAGGGGAGTCTCAATAGGGGGAGTGTTGGAACAGTTGTGATAAAACAACCTCTCCCATCGTGGTGCCCTCTGGATGTTAAGACCGCGGCTGCCAGAATCTCCTCAAGAGTTGAGGAATCTGAGCATTGAAACCTCATACATCTGAAACGGACCAGCTTGGGGAAAAACTGCTCTGCCGTCTTGGTTCTTGGACTTGATATCAAGGAGTTTCTGGTAGTCATTTTAGCAAAATGTTGGATTTTTATAGTTGGGTCGCTAGGTTCTGATGTGGGCCGTTGTGCTAACAATTGGAGTCCCCAGGCCAAATTGTCATAATGGAAGCAAAATCCAGAGTAAGCTGGTTGGGTTGAAGGGATTTCTTTGAGATTTAAGGAACCCTCTCAGTTCCCTCTGAAATCAGACCAACCTGGATTGGTGTCCCACTGTTGTGGACTTCACCTGCAGGGGGGGACACAGTACTAGGGAAGGAGCAAGCAAAAATTTTGTACAGTACTACCTCGGTTTGTGAACGCCTCAGTTTACGCAATTTTCGTTTTACAAACTGAAATCCATAAGAAATAAAGCCCCAGTAAAATCATGCAGGGAGACAAACTGAAATCCATAAGAAATAAAGCCCGGGTAAAATCATGCAGGAATTTGACCTGCACAACAAGATCAGCCTTCCAGAAGCTGGACTTCATCTCCCATCCTCGTGGCCAGGAATGAAGAGAAGTTGAGTTGGCCAACCTCTAGAGGGTTTTATGCTGATATATGGACATTTTCCAAGAGATCAACAGTCTTGACATGTGCTAAGCGTGCCATTTTATAGGGAAATGGATTTCAATTAGTGACATGAGTGTTTTCCTATAAAGTGTTTTCCTATAAAGAGGGTAGGGGGCAACCTCTCAAAGCTAGGATATTTTGGTCTACCAGCCTCTCACAACTTGCTAAGAAACGACAATATAAACATTTCCAAAAGCTTTTAGCAATTTTGTGTTTTCTGCTTGCTTATAAAGTTGGTGTTTTAACTAGACATATTTCTGCAAACCTTCCAAAGCAGTCTTCTCCAACTGGAATCCTTCCAGACATTTTATACTACAAACTTCCATTCATGGCCATATGGCCTGAGGCTCATGGGATTTGTAGTACAAAACCACCAAGCAAAGGATCAGGTCTGGAAAGTCGAGTCTTAAAGCCTTGTGCTTCCTTGAGCGGCCACTAGATGGTAAGCCTCTCCAGGCCTTTGTGTGTGTGTTTTAAAGATTGATGTCCTTGCTGGTCCACCATATAAAAATTCCCTCTCCTGGCCTCTTGGGTGTATCACAGCGACTGCAACATGAAGATGCCCCCTTCACTATCTTCAGTGCAAACCCAGTGGAATGAAAGAGCAGGGAGGCAGAAATCCTACTCGTATATAAGGTTGTTTAGCGATGAATGAATGCAAGAGACCTCAAAATGAGCTTAGGCTTTCCTCAATCAGCAGAAAACAGGGTGGTGTAGGCAAAGTACCATGATAAACTTTCCTCCCAGTCGCTCTAGGAAAATGGAACAAAATAATTCAATATTTGTGGCTTGCAGGCTTGGAATGCCATCTTCTACTGCTGCGCTCTATAGTGCCCCAAACCTGCCCCTTCGGTATTTCTCAGCCATCTCAAGCTGGTTTTCCAGGATGTGTGCAATTATTACGGTGCATCTTTAAAGCCACAAAATCCTGATACAGGAGGAACAAGAGGGAGCCAGCTCAAAGTGCCTTGCTTGTTTATGACCTCCCCAGTTAAGGGAACCCCTTTGTTGACAGCAATAACATGATTTTTATTGGGGGAAAGCTGCTATGCTGTTTGTAAAAGTATAGAAAAATGTTTTCTAGTGGGATGAGATGTATGTATGTATGTATGTATGTATGTATGTATGTATGTATGTATGTATGTATGTATGTATGTATCTCCACACACACACACACACACACACACACACACACACACACACACACAGCCCAAGCCTTGTGCTTTAAATGTCATCGTTTGGAAATGTTACCCACTTTTTTTAACCATTTGCTTATCAACCCTTTTTTTAAAAAAGGTAATGCAACATAATAGAAAAATAACAAGCAAAGAACCACAACAATGGACACCATGACAAGTAACAAAAGCCAATTACTTTTTAGAAGTAACTTTCCTTGCTCTATTGAGCCTGCAGTAAGGAATTCCACTAAATGACCAAGACAAAGAAGATAATGTAAGCTTCAGACATTATCTAGACTCTATTGGACAGGTAGAGGAGAGTAGCTTGAAAATTGATTTATTTGATCTGAAGAAATTTCAACAATCTGTTCAATCTCAATGAAAATTTGAGGCCACTGAAAGAGCTCCAAAAAATGTCGTCCAGCCCCCACAACCTAGTTCTCATTTGAAAGAGTTGTTGAACTCTTCTCTGCTTTAATTAGAAATAATTCAACATCAAAGGTATTAACATGGGGAATCATTCAAATAAATTGTCCCTCTTTGTAGATGACAGGATTGCATTCTTCTTTTCATTTGAAAGAGCGGATTTAATTTTTGAAACCAGTTAATGAATATTGATCTGGGGTGGGGGAAGGCACAGAATAAATTAAAAGGCCCGGGTAGGAATCCTCAGCGTGGATTTCAATGCCCATGCTAGACAATAAAACACAGCTTCTTCCAGATAGGTTTCCATGGCGTTATCTTCATCGATAGAACAAGGGCAGCCATTAAGCACAAGGAAAGGAAGGGGTAACATCTCCCAGATCTTATTTCTTCCTCATGTGTTTTTCTACAACTCCCATCAACCACTGCCAACATGGAGGTGATGGTCCACCATCCACTGTAAAACAGTGCTCCAACGTTGGAGGCACGCAAGAGAAAATTGGACTACCGTCTGTCTGGTCTGCTTTGATCTGAATCCCTGTCTTGAGCATGAGGTTGGTCTTGATGGCCTTAGAGGACCCATCCAACTCGATCATCCTAGGATTCTATGAAGAATAATTTAGAGGGAGCAGCATCTGATATAAAACAGTATCTCAAGAGGTTGGGACTAATTGGCTTCTGGGACTTAACAAACTCTGTACTGGAATGAATTGCATATACAAGTTCAGAACTGTTGCTCCATTTGTTTCCAACGATGGTGCTCCCTATTTTTGTTGAAGCTCATGTTTAGAAGCTAGGCGTGTACATAAGCCCCTTCAACTGGGGATGGAAGTTAGCTAGGGCTTTGAAAAGTATCCCAGTTTGGCTATAATAAGTTTCATCTCTGCTAAAATCCCATCTTTCCATTACGATAAGTTTGGGCTTGTCTCAATTCGGAAACAAACAAGTAACTCTTCACAATAAGGGAAAAAATGTCCTTAACCACTGGGAATCTTCATACATACCTTTGGAAGGCGATAAGAATCTCTGACCAGCAGCAGAGCAACAGAGAAAAGTGTTTAGATCCTGTTTTAACATTTGAATTTAAGACTATTTAAATTTAAAACGTAAGTCAAGGGAGCTTTGGCAGGTATAAGTGGGGGTATACTTATGGGATAATGCTGAATTTCTGGAAATTTCATATTGGAGGAGCAACTTTTGCCACCTACTTTTAGGTATCCTCTGACTTCTAGGCGTTGCTTATAAATAAAAGTAAAGATTAATTCAGTGGCTTGGGCATCTGGCTGTGGAGACGTTGAGAGTTCGATTCCCCACTTTGCCTCTTTGACAGGGGCTGTGAATTCCATGATTCATTTGGATCTCTTCCAGCTCTGCTGTTCGATGATGATTACAAAAATGCTTCTAAGTGTTTCAGGGCAAGTGAGAAATCTTCCCCTCTCCCTCAGCATAGCTATTTCCCTTCTCTTAATTGACAGCATATTTTTAAAAGCCCGAAGTTCAGGGTGTTTTTTTTTAAAGCAAAACTATCTGTAGAACTTGATTCCTCTGGCAAGCTAATTAATGTCAGCTTGTAAGAGGTCAATGAAGAGTCAGAGAAAGATTAAAATTCAAATTACCAGTGGAGCCAAGCAAAAATCACTCTGGAAAGCTGCAGGTCAACTAAAAACACAGCACCATTAAGTGTTGCTTTGTTTCATTGTGCTTTTTTTGGGGTTGGGGAGCAATTCCGTGTCAGGTAGGTGTCTTTTAATTCTGCTGGAGAAATTTCATGCATGTGTTTAAACCTCTAATTGACATCAATGGCACTTTTACTCTTCTTTGATCTATTACTCTACAGTGGTGCCTCGCTAGACGATGATAATCCGTTCCACTGAAATAGCTGTTTAGCGAAATCATTGTCTAGCGAAAAGCATTTCCCCATTGAAATGCATTGAAACCTGTTTAATGCGTTCCAATGGGGAAGAATCGTTGTCTAGCGAAGATCGGCCATAGGAAAGCCGCTTTGCAAACTGCCAATCAGCTGTTTAAATCGCTGTCTTGTGAGCGCGGAGGGAGCTGTCAAAATCATCGTCTAGCGAAAATTGGTTTGCGAAGCAGGTACCAAACATTGTCCAGCGAAATTCCCCCATAGGAATCACTGTTTTGTGAATCGCTATAGCGATCGCAAAAAGTCAATGTCTAACGAAAAAACTGTCATGCGGGGTAACTGTCTAGCAAGGCACCACTGTATCTTTGGCAAGGTAAAGTCAGGTTTTGAGGGGAAATTGATGAAGTATCCACCCATCGTCATGCTCTATCCTTTTGGACATGTCCATAGCTGAAGGCATGTGATGATGACTCCATGTTGCTACCATGTTGCACTAAGTCTCCACTAAAACCTGGAAGTGATGCACTGTCCCTGTAACATCATCGTCCTGAGAGTCCACTGGGAGCCAAATTGCGGCTTGAGTCACCAGTTTTGTGCAACAAAGCCCTTGGAATAACCCTTGACAACTTTTTGGCCGGTTGAAATAAACCAGGGCTAGGGAAAAATCTGTGCCTTTCTCAAGGTGGCCAGACTCTAAAGACCTAGCAGCCTCAGCCAGCAGTGCCACTGGAACAGCATGATGGAGGGGTGTAGTGCCATAACATCTGGAGGACCCATGCAATGACATTTCAAGGTGGGCAAAATTAGTTTTCCCAACAATACAACATTATTGTGAGCATTGCCTTCTGTAGGGATTGCTCACAATAGTGTGTTTTTGGACTTCATTGGATAAACAAACCCGTTCATCCTAATGAAAGCAGAACTGGTTTACTGGTGTGAATCAAAACTGTGCGTGCATTATAGGGGATCTATATAGCTTGGGCTGCAATGCCGAGAAGCCCAAGACAGCATCACCAATAGTGGTCTAGATCTTTGGCTGTGGAGTCAGAGGTTGGGAGTTCAATGCCTTGCTTGTGGCTGCCTGACAGGGGATGGACATGATGATCCAGAGGGTCCCTTCGAGCTCTGCAGTTCAAAGATGCTGCTTCTGCTGAGAAAATCTGGGGGTACCAACCCAAGAACATCTGGTGTGTTGCATTTTACTTCTCCCTCACTGAACCCTCCTGCACACTAGCTGAGCCTTTCCCTTTTGAAATACCCTGGCCAGCCCAGAAACACAGTGTCCCCATGGCTGCGTGATGCCAACAGCATCAAACCGATCTGTTCCCCACCTCCTTTGTCTTTTAGAGAAATGCTGTCCTGAATAGAGGAGAGTAGAAATGGGAAGGCTTTTAAATTTTCCCGTTTGAAGCCCTCTTTCAAACATCCCTGATGGAACAGCCATTTGCATTTCAAGAGGTCAGTCTGGTGCCGATAGCTTTCAGATGCCCCCTTGGATGTGAAAGAACAGATGAAATGGGGGAAAATAAAAAGTGCAGGGATTAAAATGCAGAATCTAAGTTTATGGATATAAACAAGAGTTACACAAGAGCTGCATTAAGACCTGGGACCTCCAAACTGTTAGATCCTGGACGTCAGGAGGCTTTTGAACGGAGATATCTTTGAACCAGGACTGCCACCCCCTAGAAAGCACCCCCAAAACAAACCATCCCTAGGCACCCCTCCATTCCCCATGCCAGGGCACAAATTTGCCCCCGGGACACAACATGCAGTGGAGGAGCTGGATCGTCTGTAAAAGGATGCTGAGTCCTCCGCCCCCCCCAAAAAAAGGTGGCTCTTTTTGAGTCCTCTTCAGAAAGGGGGCAGGTCAGATCCTGGCCCATAAGAGATTTAGGGGTTGGGGAGGGCAATACTGTATTAGCGACTGCTGAACTCCTGGAGCCAGCCTTTCTCTGGGAACTATCCATGGCCCTGAAATGTCCATCTGGTCCTGGCAGCCACTGGGGACTGTTTTTATGGGCTTAGCACCGGGAAATCTGACCTGTTTGAATTACACACAGAGATAGAATACCCTCAGACATTTGGCCCAGGGCATTCTGGGAGGCGTAGTCCCAGATATCCCTTTCTTAACCTCTGCTAATGAGTTTTGCTTAGGAGACAGAAGTATATAACAGAGGGGAGAACAAGCGCTGTTCACAGTTTTCTGCCGGCTGCACGAGATTGCAAGCATTGATGTGCATTTTTGCAAAAGAAAGTGGTGTCTCTTTTAAAATCCAAAACACTTGGCACTTAGAAGTTTGCATTTTTGCTAGCCTCCCTCTCTTTTTATAATAATGATATCATTATCATCTTGGAACTCTGGAGGTGGAGGAGTCCAGTGTCTGTCAAGGAGGCCCAATGGGGACTCAAACTCCCAAACTCTGGCTATGCGAAGAAACACTGAAGTCATCGAGCTATCCAGCAGTTCATTTTCTTCTTGGTTTTGTTTTGGTAATACTTCTGGCGACACCCTTGTGCTGGAGAAGTCAAAATCCTGCTCCTCAAATGCTTTGCAGAAAACAACAGTGTTAAGAATGGAATCCATCCTTTTGCTCCTCCAGGTGAACGGCTGATCAGCAGGTCTGGCTGATTGTTGCCCCCATGTGCTCACCAGATTTTTGTGAGGGCTTCATGAAACAGTCAAGGGATCAGCAAACAGACATATAGATGGACAATTCCTAATCCAGTCCCAGAGATTCACACAGAAATGTCTTCCTGCTGACATAGATACGAACTTCCAGTCCGTGAAAGGTGACTTATTTTACTGACTTTCTATCCCAGCTTTCTCCCAACCAATGCACTCAGTAAAAATGAATTAAGAAAAAGTAATCAGAACACAAAGCACAATCAAAAGCTGAGATGCAAAACAAATGCACCCTTTAAAGCTGCTTTGATCAACTAAAAACACATTTGTTTAAAAAAAATGACCACGATAGAAAACATCCACCACCCAACAAATAAAAACCTTTCTATCTTAGCAAAACTTTCTTTTGATTCCATTACTTCTGCAATAAAAGTTGATTTAAAAAAAGTTGTGTTTCTATAAAAGGAATTTATTCCATGAGATAAACTGCTCAGAGAACTGGAAAATCAATGACCTTTGCAAGAGGTTGGCTGACCACCTCCATAGTCTTGTACCCTTGGACACTCTTGACTGGGGCTGATAGACATTCATATTGCACACGGTAGCAGACAGGCCCTCCGTTCCGATGAGCTGATTCTACCCCCACGGGAAAGCCAGAATGACAGATCATTACAGTATTGTTCCCATTTTGGACCCAAGCAATCATAATTCAAAGAATTTTTTAAAAAGCAAGAAGGAAAGAGACATTGAGCAATTATAACAAGATCAAAGACTTCCAAAGCAATAAGGAGAGGGCTTTTGCGCAGCAAACAAAACATGACCAGCCTCACATTGTACACCATGGGAGCCTTAAAAAATTGGCTCAGAACAAAATATGCTAAACATGCAGATGTATGCAATGTTTTATTCTGTTTCAATAGTCATTGATTGGGGTCGTTTCTCCTTTTTTCTTCTTCTTCGCAGTTTATCCATTTCTCCCTGATGAGTTCAGATCGCATGTTCTGCACATTTTCAAGGCTTACGAAAGGGCCACCTTATATTTACAAATATTTCAGCAGCTGTGTTAGAGACAGAGAGCCCATTCGTGGAGATAAAAAGGGAGGAAAGGTCCAAGATTTTGATGCGAGTGTGTGAGATTTGTACGTGTGTGCATGTGTGTTCAAATCAGTTCTGACTTATGGCTACTATTTTCAGGGTTCTCTAAGTCAGTGGTCCCCAACCTTGGGCCTCCTGATGTTCTTGGACTACAACTCCCAGAAATCCTGGCCAGCAGAGGTGGTGGTGGAGGCTTCTGGGAGTTGTAGTCAAAGAACATCTGGAGGCCCAAGGTTGGGGACCACTGCTCTAAGTAGAGAATATGCAGAAGTGATTTCCCATTCCCTTCCTCTAGGGGGAGCCCTGGGATGGTGCAGCTTGCCCAAGGCCACCCAGGCTGGCTCTTCTGCGATGTACAGTGTGGAATCAAGCTCCCTCTGGCTCCACAGCCACTGAACCTATCTATCCAACCAGCGTGTGAGTTTATTAGCAAGGTTTAAGGGTTCGCATATGGTGAAGGGGTTAAAGTGTTCAATTATTCACTTGAGTAAATCCTCTTAAAGACAACAGAGATGCAATTTCCCATGTTTGCATCAGCTAAATTCAATAGGCCCAGCAGTTCAACATCTGGAGGAGACCACACAGCTTCTGTATATTATGCAAGCACTCAGTAGGCGAAGCTTCTCCATAAAAATGGTTGGGAAGTTGCACACAAGGATTGCACACACCCAGCGCATCAAACACAGCTTTTGAAAAGGCTTTGGACCTAGCGGGAAAAGCCGCTTGTCCCCCCTGTTTTCAGTCCCATTTAAAACTACTTGCATCTTACATGAAGAAATTAATAAAATTTTAGTCAATTCTTATAAAAAAAATGAATGGAAGCAAAAATGTTTACCCATCCTTAGTTTGTTGACTATCGGGTCATCCCCGAATATATTTATAGGAATTTCCTTAAAATATGTGCTGTTCTGTGTAAACACACTCAGTGTTACTATAAAAATATTTTCAAAAAACAAAACCATCAAAGCCAGACAAAAGCATAAAACATTGGCTGGTATTATATAACAGATACAAGCTTTACCAAAAATCAGTTAAATATCTGCGTAATATGTATGCCAATATTTAACCGATACTTAGGTTTTTGGTTGCCGTTGTTGTTGATGATACCACAGTTTTCTATTAAAAATAATGCTCAAGGAGACTTACAAAATGTCAAAGAATCGAAACACATAAAGTCATACGCAAATGATATAATCACATACACCAGCCTCACCAAAAAAAGATAATAATAACGCTAAGTAAAAACCACTAAATTCTACAAAAGGTACAAATAAAAAATAACACAGCAGGGCTGGTTACATCTCATGTGTCGGTATAAAAAGAGGTGTTTTCACTCCGTAAGACCTGGGGAAAGGAATCACAACGCAGAAGGAAGTGCATTCCATAAGCTGTGCAAGATAAGGCTCTCTCCTAGCTGTGTTCCAGGTGAACTTCCAACATCCTTAACATGTGCAGAGTGTGATTTTTGAACAGCTTTCCAAAATACTTTAATTCATATCACCTCCTCCTGCCATGCCTTTTCTCACATGGATGTTCCTTTTTGATTATTTCAACATTCGGCTCCCTTTGTATAACAACCATTTTCGATGGCTGTTTCCCCCCCCCCAAAAAAAATCTATATAAATGAAATACTAATGAGCACAGCAGGGAAGCATTGCTTAAAAAACAGGGCAGCAACAAGAAAAATCTCTCCTAGACTCTGAACTAAAAAAGACCTGTCAGAATAGAATAGTCCTGAAAGCTTGTTTTGTAAAGGCTTGGAGACAAGAGTTCCTTAGATATATTCTTCTACCTTGTTCCTTGCACAGTGAATTGTGCAATTAGCAGGAATCCTGGTTCCGCTCCAGATGTTCATACACTAGCATGGACAGCTTCACAATTTAAACACAGACAGATGTTTGTACACTTTGTGTCAGGAACCTGATGGTATGGAAGTCTAGATGCAAGCCACCGGTCGTGTGTAGATCTCTCCAGAGCCACCCTCCACGTCAACACAACAAACACAAGGCCGGTTGCTTACCTATTCCCTAGTAACTGGCAGAAACCAGAATTTGGAAGTAACTACTGTATTTACAAGCACCATCATTATTCGTAACTTGTTGCTTTTCCAGGTAATCACCAAGCGGTGTCTCAAAATGAGGAAAAGCAAAAGAGTTATGGCACCTTCAGGCAGATTTATTTCCAGTGGGAATGTTCACCTGTATCTGAAGAAGTGGACGATCGTCCACGGGCAATTGTGTCAAGCTCAATCTATTAAGTCTTAAAAGGTACCACAAATATTTTCCAGTGTTTGTTCTTCATTTATTTTTGTCTTTTGTCAATGTGGCTCAGCCTCTGAGAAGAAGCTCAAGATTAGTTATAGTGTGATTTTTTTAAAATTAGCAATATTTTCTGTTGACTTTCACACGTCACTTTTTAAGGGCATTTTAAAGGAATATCCTAACAGGAAGCTTTTCAACCTTGATCTCATTCATTTCAGTCCTAAGCCACTGTTTTGTCTCTGGCTTTTTTGGGGGGGGCATCTTCAAGCTGTAATAATTTTCAAGCCATCCCATCAGAGGTAACCTTTAAAAGGTCCGAGACAGCAATTTTCATCTGTTTTTCTGGTACGTTATCCCTTTTGCAAATGAACCCATGACAATGAGGGCCAGCTGCTCTAGGAATGATGAACACAACTGATCATAGCGCTGGCTGATTCCCCCCCCCCCTTTCATGGATTCCCAGGGGAATGATGAACACAACAGATCATAGCGCTGGCTAATTCCCCCCCCCCCCTTTCATGGATTCCCAGTGAAACTCACTCAGGAACCCTGTCGAGAAATGCTTCCTGGGTCTCATTTTCTGGCAGCATCATAATAAAGCAGCTAGGCATTCGCCACGGTCCTCGTGATCTAAAAGCAGTTCCGAGATTCCCGACACCTCGATCAGCCTGAGAGGATAGGTCTGAAATGAGTCAAAAGTCCCCACAAATGCTCAGCACAAGAAGCCAAGAGTGTACCAAACACTAGCAGATGGGGAAGGTTAGGGTCTCCTTGAAACCTCATACCCAGGGCTCAGGACTATGACTTTACCTTCAGAGCCCCACACACAGACTTCAGCTGCAGGCCATCCGGAGCAGTGCCCGTTGGTCTAACTGGTGAAGAGTGTCTTGCCTACAAGTAACTCTCTGCTCACAATCGTTGACTCGGTAAGTCTACGCCTGGCAGCTGAACAAGGCGGCTCTTTTGGCACCAGCGCTAAGTAGATCCTCAGCTTCCCTCCTCAAAATTCAGAAAGGGGGGTGTCTCCCCGTATCTGGAAGGGGGCACCTCAGGTGCCATCGCCCCAATAGCTCTAGAAGAGTGGATTTCAGCCCAAAAAAGCTGGCCCCAAAACAAAGCCATTAAACCTGAAAGCCGTGACAATACTTATGCTCTTGTTTTCCTTCTTTTTGGTTGTGGCTTCCCAAATGTTGTTGGACTACATGTCCCATCACTTCAGCCCGGTGCCTGTGTAGCTGATGGGAGTTTGAGTCCAATGATCTTTGGAAAGGCTGGAGATTTCTCCTCCTTCAAGTGCAGCTTCTGGCAGCATTGAGGGGGCTTATGAAGATCAAATGGGACTATGGCTTCAAATAATACCGTAATGATGCGTTTTCTTCATTGGCGTGACGAGGGGCTGCTTTTGTGAAATTAGCTCCATTGTTTGACTCCCAGAATGGCAAATTCCCTTGTTATTTATTTATTTTTCTACGAAATTTTCTTTCCCCCCCCCTTTTTGCCATCCAGTTCCGCAAGATTTGCTGTATAACAATAAGAGGCCTGCACTGTAATCATATTTTATATGCTTGACTTAATTTTTGATCTTATTTTGAATTGGGCACTGGGGTTTTTGTGTGTGTGTTTGGATCTGCATTTAATGTACGTGCCATATCAAAAGCTACCAAATATAATGGATTAAAATGCAATTGGTATTTGGCTCTGCACACGAGTTCTCGGCAACAAGGCGGTGTTTCGTAAACTTCTGCCCGGCAAAACAGTCTCCTCTTCTGACATAAACACGGAAGCCATCTGCTTCATTCTTACAAACAAAAAAAGTGTGGTTGGTTTGAAGATTGTTGTCTTTCTGTTTTTAAGTCTCCGCTTTGTGAGTGGAAACACCCTATAGCTAGAGAAGCCTTCCTCCTATTGGCTAGTGCCTGTGAAGACAACTGAACATCGGTCTAGTCTTGGAGAAAAGAGGAGGAAAGGTGGATTTGCTTATCTGTAGAGTTGAGGGCAGCAAACACAAAACACTCATCATCCCAGAAAAGGGCTCATGTAACAAATATATATATATCATCTTCAGACTAACTGGAAAGGAAATAAATGGCAGTCCATTATCTGGTTCACACACCACCAGAAGCCGATCCGGGGTCATCCCAAGGGGTCCTTGGACCCAGGGTTAACTCATCTTTGCTTCAGCATCTTAAAAGCTTTGGTCTTGACTAGCCTGACTTAATATGAACTTTTCCAGGAGCTAAGATCTCCATGCCGTGGTCTCTCCTCAATTCTGTGAGGATGAACGGTTCAATGAATGGTTCTGCCATTGCTGCACTAGAGAGGGTTTCCATGGCTGAGTGGGGGATTCTAACCCAGGACTTCTAAAGCTTAATCTGCAATTTATACATTACACCACCCCTGCTGTCTTTGAGATTTCTTTTAGCTGTCAGCTAGTCTCTTTGAGGGCTAGTTTTTGCAACAGAAAAATGGGATAAAACAGTAACAGAGTAATATTCATCTTTGCCCTAAAACTAGTAGCTGCAGAAAAATAGAAAACAAAACATCTCTGTAGACAGTTTTTTAGCCACCTTGGGTCACTTCATCAGGGAAAAAGCAGCATAAATGTGAAATAAATGCATTCATTTAATTGCTGCCTCACTTTTCTCCTTGTGGGTGATTATTATTATTTGTTACAACAATAATTAAATGCATTAATCAACACATTCGTACATACATACATCCCTACCATGATCTCAAGGCTGCCCATCTCTCTTCCTCCCTACTTTCTCATCACAACACCTTTGTGAGGTAGGTCACACTGAAATCCTTCAACTGGCCCCCAAGTCACTGTTGCAGAGTTCTGAATCTCGAGCAGAGATTTTTTTCTTATGCAGTAAAAATAGATTCACAGAGTAGAATAGCTTCAGGTTCTTCACAGAGTCCACCCCCTTTTTTTCCTTAACTGGCACTTAAGGTCCCAGTAACTCACTCTGAGACATTTGTCCCTTCCTTCTTTTCTTTTGCCATCTTGAACAATCTATTAATTTATTAGCAGATGTAATAATTTTTGTGTCTTTTCTTTTGCCATCTTGAACAATCTATGTAGATGTAATAATTTTTGTTTATATTTATATATTTTTATTTATGCATCTGGAAGCCGCCTAGAGTGGTCGCAAGACCAGATGGGCGGGGTATAAATAAAATAAATAAAATAATAAATAAATAAATAAATTGTAGGAGAAAGAATAAAAATGTTCCATTACCAACAGTTGTGAACAGACCAACAGCAAATAGAACAACTCTGATTCCAACAGATTAAAGAGATTGGGGGTGGGGAATCACTCCACAGAGAGGCGGGGCTCTCTTTGAATTCAGAGGCGGGAGGGAATGATTGGTTAGTGCCAGACTGACTGACAGTCGCCCCAGTCTAGAAAAGCCCCCCCCCAGCCGCAAGAACCACAGACAGCATGTAAGATTGTAAAAACTCCAACTGCCGTCCATGTGAGCTTGATGGCTCAGGGGGGCCTAGACTTCGCAACCCCCACGTCACGCTCTAACAAGTCCACTACCACAACACACTGATTCTTATCTGTGCCTCACATATCCACATCATCTGGGAAACATGAGGACCTGATGCAGGCTTCTCCACCCCCACCCCAAACAAGGGGCATATGTCGCCTCTGCCGTCTNNGGTATCCTTTCCCCCCCCCTCCTGTTGCTGGCTTTTACTGGCATGCAGAGCACGGCCTTCAATGCTGAACTGTTGGGTCGCCCACTGAGCGCTCTGGAAATGCAGCGCTGTAGCCGCATTAATGAAGCCGTTTGATTTGATTTCCAAACACAACAGGCCAGGTTTTGGGTTGGCGAGATCATATCTGAGATGGTATGGTGCCTAGGAACATAGGAAGACCGGAGGGGGTGTAAAATTGTTCTTTTAGAGAGTGAGAAACACCGCACGTTGGTAAAAATGCAATCTGAGAAAAGCTAGAGACTATTTTTTTAGCTCTTTCTGTATCTTCAGAGCAAGATGTTTTAGAGTGTGTTTTGCTCCCTTCTGGAACATTTCCAGGCGAGAGGTTCCCTACAGGGGGATTTGTTGTGAGTGTGTTGCAGAGGGAACCACAACTTTCCGGGGCCCGCAAAAAGACCTGACATATTTATTGTAACAGGCATTTTTGCAACCTATACCTCCCCACTTCATCAGGTGAGATATGGTCCTCGTGGAGATGATGTCTGGAGGAAAATGTACCATATTGACTGAGCAAGGATGGACAGTAGCGCTGGGTCCATTGTTTTAAGAAAACAACATTTAAACAATTTAATTGGGGGAAGAAGACCACAAATTTGACTCACCACTACCTCTGAAAAAAAATTTCTGTTATTCTGACTCTATTATTCATGGGCATTCAAACAGGGTATACAAAGAACTATAATACTTTGATTGCCTGTAAACAGACTCCAGGTTCTGAAATCTCACCAAGCATCACTTGCATGCTTTTGATCCCATTTCTAATTTTCTTCTTCTCTGGTTCTTTTCCTTCTTCCTCTTCTCCCCCTTTCTCCCAAGGAGCAAGCCGGTCTTCCCTTCGATCTCTACCCAGTGAATTTCACCACCGAGAGAGAAAGTGAATCTGAGGCCAGAAAGAGACGTTAAAGATAGCCCAGGACTGGAAGAGGGAAAAGTTTTAACTAATGAAAGCATCTGAGTGCCATAGCAAGCACTCCTCTCAATTCTGGGATGATGCAAATCACCTTTGCTCTGTCACCCGCTTTCCAGTTTTAGATCAGAATTCCTTTCAGGTCTTATTTCATCAACATGGAAAGACCATCGCAACTACTTCCCAACATGCTTTCAGCTCTAATCACGGGCTGTCTCTAATGTCTCTCCTTCTTCCCCCCAACTCCTCTGTCCTATAATCCACCCACAGACCCCGATTCCCATCTATTTTCATTATTCCCCAGATCGATACCAGGTCAACCTCTAGATTATTTAATGAAGAATTTTCTAAAGTTGTCCTGCCCTGCAGGGTTGGAAGCACAAAATCTTCTTTGTTCCATGTATTTGCTGTGGAATTGGGGGTGGGGAGACTTTGGAATTACCTCTGAAATTCAGCACTAAGAGAGGAGGTGATGAGGCAGTTCTCTGCTAAAAAAAAAAACCCTTTTGTGCTGTTGTGCATTCATTATTACAGTGGTGCCCCGCTTGACGACGTTAATCCATTCCGTTAAAATCGCTGTTAAGCGATATCGTCATCAAGTGAAAAAAAAAACCCATTGAAATACATTGAAAACTGGTTCAATGTGTTCCAATGGGCAAAATACCTCATCGTAAAGCGAAGATCCTCCATAGGGGAAGCCATTTTCGATCGCTGTCTTCCGGAAATAGGTCTGAAAACAGCGGGCAGCCATTTTGAAAATCTGACGATCAGCTATTTTTGATCGTCGGGAAGCGGATTTTCCCCATTGAAACATCATTTTGCGGTCACAATAGCAATCACAAAAACCTCATTGTGAAGTGATTTTGTCATCTACTGGGGCAATTGTCAAGCAGGCACCACTGTAGTTGTCCAGGTAGGGATCAGACCAGCGGCCTCATTCCCAGGAGAACGCCTCAGGTTTTGTTTATGCGCGCACACACAAAATGTCACAAGAGGGGAGCAAATTCAAAAGCAGATATTTAATGCCATCCTTCCCACTTTCCCCCAAACTCCCTGTCATGCGAGTCATTTGGTCCTGGATCGCTCTTGGGAATAAAAGTTTGAATTAACCAGGAGGGAGCACAGAACAACCGTTTCTCCATTTTAAACAGCAGAGTATAATTGTAACTAGAGCGGAACCACACTGGGCCATTTTTCCCCTTTTTACACTGAGGAATAATATTAGCATTTTATGAACCTTTGATGGATCATCAAGTTCCCAGGCTCCTGCTCCACGGTTGAGGATCACGGGCCTGATCGGGTTTTGTCCTACTTGTGTTAATGAATTGCTTTGCTAGTGGGGGGGGGGATGTTATGCAACATCTCCGTGCGGCTGGATCGCCTCCTGCCTGCGATCATCCTACCTGCCCATCGCTGTCAGACTCCTTATATACCAGTGTTTAGAGCAATGCCATTCTTGCTACTCCCCCCAAAAAAGAGGACACGTACCCCTAAAAAAGGAGAGCACAGATTTGCATAAATGTTGCATAGGCTTGTGTAAGTGTAAGCACTATTGTTTATGTACATCCAGATGAGTCGTCTGCCTTTAAATTGGCATTCCGGGTGCTGAATCTGGATGGGCAACTTCAATCATCTTCTTTTCCACTCCTGCAGGTGATTCGCATCTCTTCAGAGGACATTAAAGTGATGACTTTTCCTCTGAAAGTCCCTCAATTAGAAGACCACTCCCTGTAAAATAGGACCAAATGTCTGCCCTCCAGAACCTATGGAAAATATAAATTTCAAGGGTTGGAAGACAAATCCCAGGACTGATATTATCGTGCTTCATTTATTTGGCCAACTAGAACCCAAATCCCCTTAGTGTTGCAGAGACGTGATTCAAGCAGCAATTCAGGTCTGAGAAATCAGACCTCAAGAGCCCTGCTCCGCTCATGCAAATTAAGCCTGTGGCTTCCTTTGGGGAATCAATGCATCTCATATTTGGTCTTCCTCTTTCTCCACGGCCCTTCGTCTTTCCCAGCATTATCGTGTTTTCTGGAGAATCCTGCCTTCTCGTGATGTGGCCCCAAGTAGAACAGCCTCCGTTTCAGCGCTTGGGCCTCCAGCCCTGTGAGGGCAAAGAGATGGAAAAGCTTCCTTTGTTTTGGACTACAAATCCCAGCATCCTTTCGCCCGGACACCCAGTGGCCACGCCGGCTATGGAATTCCATAAGCTGCAGCCCGGCTCCCGCACACAAAAGGAAACCTATCCACATCTCAGCCGATCTCCCCTGGAGGAAAGCCTCTCCCCACGGCTGACGATCGATCGCAGCCTGAGAACAGAGAAGGTGGCGGTTCTCACACCCGCTGCTGAAATAATGAGGACCCCCGGCAGACCCATCCACCTCGTGCCCCCCCCCTGGCAGGAGCATTTATTGTCTGTGACAGCTGGGATCTTGGGTGGCACTTGGATTTCTGAGAACGGCAAGTGAGGATTTGAAGCGTCCACATGAAGATGGCAAACTGCACCCTTTGGGGGCTGAATATGCTAACCGTACACCCTAATTTCTCAAGCCGTTGCAGCTCAAAAGCATTCAGCATAATCTGTGACCTGGGTCTGGCATGGGCAGGGTTTGGCTCCCTGGGCCTCAAGGCTCACGGTCACCCAGCACCATGGGCTATGTTGGCTAGGGCTGATGGGGAATGTAGTCCATTAACATCTAGGAAAGCAGGTGGTCCCTGAGCCAGAGAGGCAGGGTTTTTTTCACTTTTCAACTCACTGTATGTGCTGTCCTTTCTCACTCTGACCCATCGCAGTGGCTTGGGCCTTTGGCTGCGGAGCCAAAAATTGGGAGTTCAATCCCCCACAATCCTCCTTGACAGGGGTTGGACTGGATGATCTACAGGGTCCCTTCCGGCTCTGCCGTTCCAAGATGATTATTGTTATCTTCTAGGTGCCAAATTCTAGTTTTGATAACATTTAGTTACAGTATTTCTCTGTTCAATGCAAATGTGTGTGTGTTTTTTTTAAGGTTTACAATACATCTTGCACTAAAACCATTCATTCATTTAACAAAATTAATATGATAATTTTTACCTGGAAAATGTCATGTCTGTGTCAATTACGGTATGTCTGTTGCTTTCTTGGTATGTAGCTTGTTGCACCATCCTACAGCATAGGATACTGTACATTATGCAGCTTGCTCACACATGCGTCTGTGTGTAGGTACATGTTTAAACTAAAATTGTTTTAAAATCAGTGAATTTTTAAATATTGTTATAGCTAATAAACCAGTTTGAAATGTTCCATGTCAATTTGGCATACTGGTTGTGTGTCCCTAGTCATGCACAACTAGTAGCTTATGAGATGACCACACATCTCGATCTCTGCATGCATATAAATATTGAAAAAGATATTGGCTTATATGTTTAATTTATTGCTTACTATTATAATTTATAGGCCCAAATCCTGTGGCACAGCTCTGCTTGAACAAAAGGAATGGAATCATCCTCAGTGGCAGGTTGCAGCTAATTAAAGACTTCCTTTTTCAAATTTTGGGGTGTGCACAGCTCACATACAATGAGGCAAAGTCAAATGCAACCTGAGATTGAAAAGTCTTTAATCAGCATCAACCTGCCACTGAGGATGCTGTTATCTACTGTTGTG